CCTATTCTTACGAAGGCGACAAGAGAAAAGCCGATTAGTCAGTTGATTTTCTAAGTATGACTATCTGATTTATTTGTATAGGAAGGTGCGTGGAGTGGAGGGATAGGGAGGAATTGGAACAATAAAGCTAAATAAAAATTATAACATCAAGTATTATGAGAGTAAAAGTAAATAAAATTTGTACCATGAGTGAGCCAATTAATTCCAATGCTCTAACTACCTTACCTGTAATATGTGTTCAGTTAGTTATTTATAATATATGATTTGTGATAGTGGACTGTATATGTGCTCAAGAGGGAAAGGGAAATGTGAATATTCAGTGCGACATGATTCAGTGAAATCAGTAAATTTATTGCAATGAGCAAAGTACAAGAGTAATGTTTAATACAAACTTAAATTCAATTATTTTGTACAATTATATTAACAAAGTAAAGTAAGACATTAGCAGGTATTGGACAAAACACAAGTATAATTGCTATGAACGTTAACAAAATTAAGATGGGGATAAGTAATAAAATTGTTCAAGAGAAGTGGTTGAATCAAATATATGAAAAAAAACAATTGTTATCAAATTATGAGTTCATAAACAAATGGACAAACATTAGAGTTCATTAACCAAAGGACATAGTTAATTTCAATCGTGCAATGACCAGTGGTCGATTACATCAAATTGTAATAATAATATAACAAACGACGAATTTCATTACAATAAACAATTAACTCAGATAAACTATTAAATGAGCAACTCAACTATTTAATTACTTTAACTTATGTGGACGTATGGACTGGATTTGCTTTATACTACCACATGAATAACATAAAAAGATAATCGTAACATAAATTACTAGAAACTTAACTATACTTTAACTTATCTAAATTCTAAATTAAATATTACTGGACAATTGTACCGAGGGGCTCGCACTTTAACAGTCTGCTGATTATGTTTTAATAGAATAATTATATTGTTACAATCCAGAATAGAGTTAATATATCTAAAGAGCTTATTACAAATGACAATGTACCCTATGGGTAATGTGAGCTAATGTGCGAACCAAGGCCGTAGCTGGAACAAATTTTCGGGGGGGGGTTTTAACCAAATTATATGTTTTTAAATAATTAAAAAAAAATACTAATACATAACATAAACAAAAAAAAATTGTCTTACTATTAAGTTAGGTTATACAACAAGATATACTTTATGTTATGACCTACCTTTGTCATTATTTTACAAAATTTACCTTTTGAAGTATACTAAAGTTAAAATACAATACAATACAAAATTTTATGAGTCATTTTTCAGTTTAAATTTTAAAATAATACATTTTTATAGCACAAAGTCTATCAGTCTTTTTTTTTCTTTTGCAAAACTGTCGATCACATCGTCTGGATTTATTTTAATTTGTCTATGCACACTCAAAAGTGCTAGACCTGTAAGACGTTCTTGACCAAATGAATTTCGTAAAAAGTTTTTTAGCCTTTTCATAGTAGAAAATGAGCGCTCTGGTGTAGAAGTCGAAACTGGTAATGTAGCTAATATTTTCAAAAGAAAAGATACATTTGGAAAATATTCATAATTACATTTAATGTACGCTTCGATAGCCGAATTTGGACGGTCTACATCTAGTTCGTCAGTCCATTTTCTTTTCCACAGTTTAATTTCTTGTGGCAGTACTTTTAAATCCAGAAATTCTGAATATATTTCAAAATCATTTAAATCAATTTCAAATTTATCGCATGTTTTTGGTAATAACTTGTGCAATGAAGAAATTATTTTTTTATGATTATTGAACCTTGTTTGAAGCTGTTCAATGAAGTCGTCAAAAAAAGGAATAGCTATTGTAATACGGTAGTATTCTTCAGGTGAATTCACGACAATATTACTTCGATTTTTTTGATGTCCAACAATTCTAGGTATTCTTATACATTCTTCGTCATCAATTGATTTTATAAGAGCCTCAGCTTTTTTAAAAATATTGGAAAATGTATTATCCATATTACTTCGCATATCATTTATTTCGTGTAGTACAATATCAACATACGCCATTGCTTCGGTTAAATCACAATTTACAGACTGTAAATTCTTACACAGTGGCAATGTTAAGGAAAAAAGTATAGATGCTGAGACCATACTTATTACAAAATCACTGGTTATAATAGTTTNTATGTTTTTTTTTTTTTTTTTAATACTAGTAGTTTCTGTATTACTATTATAAATTGATCGGAACACAAAGGATGTTGTACCCATTGAAATGTTGATATCTATGTGAGATTTTGATTACAATTTTCAGCATCTTATCTGATTTCTTGGAGTCTTTTGTATAGATCACAGACCCTGCTATTATAGTCAGTTGATTTATTCCTTTTCCTACGTATTAAAAAGGAATAAAAAATGATGATTTTTATATTATTCTTTTATTAGATATTGGCGCGGTCGCATTGCGACTCCAGCTTTACCACTGGATGGCGATCGCTTCCATCTTTACGTTCGGCAGGTCGCGCCATATTCAGTGGCCGACAGGCGGCGGGAACTGGTCCAGCCTGGCCGCAACTATTTTTGCTTTTTCTCTTTGGACCGTCACAGTCAAGAAGACGTATTAAGTTTTTTTGTTTTACTTGTTAATTGACCTTGTCATATAAAGGAAAATATACGTTAAGCAATATTTAACGGATGAGTTTATTTATTATTATTATAAAACAAACCCTGAACCCCATCAATATATAGAATTAGAAATATAAATTTAATGCGGTTTTCAATATGTAAAAAAATTAAGGAGAAATATTTATTAGTTATAAGTTATAAGCATTGCTAGTTAGTTTTGGTTCACTCTGTATGTTAGGAACAGGACTGAACAGTGAACGAACTCCTATTCTTACGAAGGCGACAAGAGAAAAGCCGGTTAGTCAGTTGATTTTCTAAGTATGACTATCTGATTTATTTGTATAGGAAGGTGCGTGGAGTGGAGGGATAGGGAGGAATTGGAACAATAAAGCTAAATAAAAATTATAACATCAAGTATTATGAGAGTAAAAGTAAATAAAATTTGTACCATGAGTGAGCCAATTAATTCCAATGCTCTAACTACCTTACCTGTAATATGTGTTCAGTTAGTTATTTATAATATATGATTTGTGATAGTGGACTGTATATGTGCTCAAGAGGGAAAGGGAAATGTGAATATTCAGTGCGACATGATTCAGTGAAATCAGTAAATTTATTGCAATGAGCAAAGTACAAGAGTAATGTTTAATACAAACTTAAATTCAATTATTTTGTACAATTATATTAACAAAGTAAAGTAAGACATTAGCAGGTATTGGACAAAACACAAGTATAATTGCTATGAACGTTAACAAAATTAAGATGGGGATAAGTAATAAAATTGTTCAAGAGAAGTGGTTGAATCAAATATATGAAAAAAAACAATTGTTATCAAATTATGAGTTCATAAACAAATGGACAAACATTAGAGTTCATTAACCAAAGGACATAGTTAATTTCAATCGTGCAATGACCAGTGGTCGATTACATCAAATTGTAATAATAATATAACAAACGACGAATTTCATTACAATAAACAATTAACTCAGATAAACTATTAAATGAGCAACTCAACTATTTAATTACTTTAACTTATGTGGACGTATGGACTGGATTTGCTTTATACTACCACATGAATAACATAAAAAGATAATCGTAACATAAATTACTAGAAACTTAACTATACTTTAACTTATCTAAATTCTAAATTAAATATTACTGGACAATTGTACCGAGGGGCTCGCACTTTAACAGTCTGCTGATTATGTTTTAATAGAATAATTATATTGTTACAATCCAGAATAGAGTTAATATATCTAAAGAGCTTATTACAAATGACAATGTACCCTATGGGTAATGTGAGCTAATGTGCGAACCAAGGCCGTAGCTGGAACAAATTTTCGGGGGGGGGTTTTAACCAAATTATATGTTTTTAAATAATTAAAAAAAAATACTAATACATAACATAAACAAAAAAAAATTGTCTTACTATTAAGTTAGGTTATACAACAAGATATACTTTATGTTATGACCTACCTTTGTCATTATTTTACAAAATTTACCTTTTGAAGTATACTAAAGTTAAAATACAATACAATACAAAATTTTATGAGTCATTTTTCAGTTTAAATTTTAAAATAATACATTTTTATAGCACAAAGTCTATCAGTCTTTTTTTTTCTTTTGCAAAACTGTCGATCACATCGTCTGGATTTATTTTAATTTGTCTATGCACACTCAAAAGTGCTAGACCTGTAAGACGTTCTTGACCAAATGAATTTCGTAAAAAGTTTTTTAGCCTTTTCATAGTAGAAAATGAGCGCTCTGGTGTAGAAGTCGAAACTGGTAATGTAGCTAATATTTTCAAAAGAAAAGATACATTTGGAAAATATTCATAATTACATTTAATGTACGCTTCGATAGCCGAATTTGGACGGTCTACATCTAGTTCGTCAGTCCATTTTCTTTTCCACAGTTTAATTTCTTGTGGCAGTACTTTTAAATCCAGAAATTCTGAATATATTTCAAAATCATTTAAATCAATTTCAAATTTATCGCATGTTTTTGGTAATAACTTGTGCAATGAAGAAATTATTTTTTTATGATTATTGAACCTTGTTTGAAGCTGTTCAATGAAGTCGTCAAAAAAAGGAATAGCTATTGTAATACGGTAGTATTCTTCAGGTGAATTCACGACAATATTACTTCGATTTTTTTGATGTCCAACAATTCTAGGTATTCTTATACATTCTTCGTCATCAATTGATTTTATAAGAGCCTCAGCTTTTTTAAAAATATTGGAAAATGTATTATCCATATTACTTCGCATATCATTTATTTCGTGTAGTACAATATCAACATACGCCATTGCTTCGGTTAAATCACAATTTACAGACTGTAAATTCTTACACAGTGGCAATGTTAAGGAAAAAAGTATAGATGCTGAGACCATACTTATTACAAAATCACTGGTTATAATAGTTTTTCCAAATTGTAATGCTTTTGATGACGTTTCAATATCACGAGTGAACTGTAATTCTTCCAATGTATTAACAATTGCCCCATAAATTTCTGTAAATCTTATTAGTCCGTCATGATTTTCTACCCAACGTGTCTCGCACATTGATGTAAGTTTGGTCCACTTAGATTCAGGAAATTGTTCTTTAATGTATTTTTTTAAAATTTCGGTTCGCATTGCTGAACCTTTAATGAAATTTCCTACCGATTTTATGGTACCAATACAGTTACGAATATGTTGAATACTACAGGAATGAGAGAGAGCCAAATTTAAAGAATGAGCACTACAGTGTACGTAAAGCGCGGCCGGATATTCTTTTCGAATAATTGCTTGCACTCCTTTGAAATTTCCGCTCATTGCAGCCGCCCCGTCGTATCCTTGTCCTACCATATACTTCGGATTTATTCCAAGAGATTTAATACTATCTAAAATGATATTGGCTAAATTTTTACCAGTCGTATTTTCTACCGACACGAATTTTAAAAAATCTTCACGTAAAATGAATTGATGTTCAGGATCTTCATCGATATATCGAATACAAAGTGACATTTGTTCAATTCGCGATATATCAGTCGTCTCGTCTACTAAAATTGAAAATGATTTTGCCCTATTGATTCTATCCACTAAACAATTTTGAATTATTTTTCCAATTATATCAATTAAATTATTTTGAATAGTAGGACTTAAATACATAGCTTTAAATGTGTCATTTTCAATACAATCAGTCATCATTTTATCACCGCAGTTCATTCGCATTCGCAGAAGAGCTCTAAAATTACCATCATTGTGAACTGGCTCATTTAAAGTGAGTGGTCCAGAATCAGATGTACCACGAAGAGCCAATTCTTGACGACCACACAAAATTATTGTTTGAATAACTGGTGTTAATTTTTTTCTATTTTCAACTATTTGATTAGCACGTGCCGAATCAATTTTTTGACAAATATCTAACTGTTTGTTGCAATATATGGAAATAAAATTTTCAGCAAAAAAAACGTTGTTTTTATGATACTCTGTGTCCTTATGCGTGCTAAAAATTTCAATTGCATTTTTCCATTTATTGAATGGTTTTGTTACTAATACGCCGGGTTTTTGATGTGCACCTTTACCGGTAAAGTTATGATAAAATATAGCACAATATTTGCACACCGCTCCAGAACCTTGCATATTAGTGTAACATAACCAAGGGAATCGATTAATCCAATTTAATTGAAATTTTAACTTTCTATTTCCTGATATAGGAAATTTAAACTTTTCATCAGGAATCCAAACATTAGAAAGTAACTTATATTTTAATTCATCACTAACCTTTTGATCAAAACAGCAACCAATATCAGCTACATCACTCTTAGATTTTTCTGTTTTACCTGGTGTGATTGCAGTCAATACTGGACTTGAAGTACAGACTTCATTTCCGTCATGGGTTGTTTTTATTTTTTTATTAAAATAGTTTGTTAAAGTATTAGCACAATTGCTCTTACGAGTTGACATTTTATAGAAAATATAAATAAATTAAAATAAACACGAGTATTATATTAATTTCCAAGAGAAATATCACCACTTAATAGTTAATAACTTTATTCATAGGACGTCTCAACACAGAGTTACACCTTACACAGTAAAATTCGCATTGCTCTATGAGTCTCAAGCAGGCGGTACAAGATAACATGTACATACAACTATGAAAAAAAAAAATAAACGATTTTGTTGTATAAAATAAAGTTATTAATAATATTATTATTGGAGATACTGAATACCGATAACGTTCTTTGAAAAACGGTAATACGGCCTACAGATAATAATTCCACTCTTCAACATGTTATCGTCGTCTGTCAATCGTTTACAATTAATCGCTAGTGACGTATATATCTATGTATATATTTAAATATGCTATTTATAAAATACGCCATTAGAATTCGTATCCACACAATTTCTGGATTATAAAATAATATAATATTTTACAACAATATAAATATGTTTAGAGAGTTATCTGTATTATTATGTAAATTATTAAATTTTAAAGTTCAGTTTATTAACTATTAAAAAGTTTCGGGGGGGGGGGTTTGAACCCCCAAAACCCCCCCCAAAATACGGCCTTGGTGCGAACCACAAGGTATATAAATAACAAATAATAAATAAACTATTGAAATTATTACCAATTAATATTATACAAATTTGGTTTTGTGTTACGCTGACAGTTCAAATAGGCTAACAATCGTGCTTACGAATTAACAATAGACGAACGATTTTAGTAGTAAAACAAAAAAAAAGATATAATGTTTTAGGTTAGGCGAAAGCAATAGTTTAACAACGAGAGCGAGACAATAACGCGTTTTTACAAAACAAAAAAAACCAATAAATCTAGGCGACGGATCTCGAGAGAGTGAATTATAAACTATAACGGCCAGGCGTCCGATGAGGGAAGTGTTATCACCAGGTAATACACTATCAGTATGACCAACTTGAGCGTTCACCCGAACACTGTACGTGTCGCGACTATAATACATATATAGGGATTGCTGCCACTATTCAATAATAATTATTAAATAAGTTACAAAGATAAACATTAATAAATCTTTTAATTATTTTGTAATGTTGCAGAATTTATACAAGTTTTTTTTTTATATTAATCTTATCAATTAGATGTATGTGCAGTAGGTGTAAAGTATTTTCATAATTTTGTATATGATAACCTCCACTTGTCAACCGGTCCGATATCTGTCATCATCAGCTGACCGTACACTGTGCACCTATACCAATATTGTAATGTCCCCTCAATGAACGTGTTCAAAGTTGGCACCACCACCACCCAGCGTCACGATCACCGGCCACTACACAACTGCCGCTACAACATTTTTTTTTCTCACCTATACCGTCGAGGCAACAACTCGTGTTTTCTTTATATAATTATATTTTGAAAACCACGTTTCTTTTTTGTATTTTTTTTGTCCTCCGTTTTTTTTATCAAAATAAAACGTCGAGTGGATCTGCTGTCGACTTGTATCAACCCGGCTGTTCATATTTTTTTTTGTCCTCCGTTTTTTTTTTATAAAAAAATAAAACGTCGAGTGGATCTGCTGTCAACCAAGTGGTGCCGTTGTGTTTTTGTCCTCCGTTTTTTTTAAATAAAACGTCGAGTTGATCTGCCGTCTACTTTGGAGTCAACCAGGCTGTATTTTTTTTTGTCCTCCGTTTTTTTTATTAAAATAAATGTCGAGATGATGATGATGGTGATGTGAGGCGCAGCTATGGCCGGTGGTGGGCCGTCACCCTTCAATCAACAATCAAGTACAACCTGAAACCCCCCTTTTCAAACCCATTATTACTGTTATATAGAGCACCTCTTTTTCTTTTTTTTTTTCTTTTTTTTTCTCTTCCTCATGACTATACATTTAAAATTATATATATGCTAAAAATATTCAATAATTAAAAAGAAAAGATGTTATTATGTTATACATGGCCTTTCTCTTTTCTTAATATTTGTTTTTCTCAAAACCTAGTAGCTCCGTCGACAAGTACTATCTTGTTTGGCGCGGCTACTAGGTCACTGTCCAGTGTTCCCCCTGGGCAGTGGGTAATTAGTAGGCCCTCTGTTTGGCTGAAACCTTACAATTTATAAGGCTATTTGTTTCAGAATGATATCTACTCAAATGACCAAAGCTAAATTACAGATATTAATAAGTAGGGATGAACACATAAAATCAGTATTAGCAGCTGTTAATACTGAATTAATTGAACTTAGGGATAATACAAATACTTATCGTGAAATTCTCAAGAAATTAATTCTCCAAGCTATGTATAAAGTAAAAATCAAAGTAATTTATTAATATTTATATTTGTTATATATACTTTTTTTTTTTTTATTAGATTATAGAAAATAATATTGTTTTGATAGTTAGAATTGAAGATATCAAAATAATACAGTCGATGACTGACGAGTTAAAAGATGAATACCATCATGTCACTAGAATGATTGTTCATATTAGTATAGACGCGAGTTTAAATCTTTCTACTCAGGACATCGGAGGTGTCATAATAACTGATAAAAGACGCCGTATATTTGTAGACAATACATTACTGATGCGATTAATTTACCTGGCTATACAAGCAATACCGTTTATACGGATTGGTTTATTTGGACCTAATCCTTCAAGGAAACTTTAAATTATTTATTTATCATTCTTTAATATTAATACATTAGTACAAAAAATTTTATTTTTACTTAACAAACATTACATGGTATTTTTTACGTCAGAGATTAGGGTAATTATTCGCATATGTATCAACGGAACGTTTTTAACACGCTTATAATAGTTTCACCTGTATGTATGTATGTTTATAATTCTCCAAGCGCCACGCGTTATCGCATATTCTGTCGTCTATGGTCTTGAGACTAGACTGTCATAACGCATCCACCCCACCCCACGCCTCGCTCATTACACGACGGCAACACTATTCCTATATAAATTTATTTTTAGTTATCGTACCCGTACACGCGCGCTTGTCATCAATATTATATATATATAAACAAATTTTTATTTTGACTGACCAATATCATCCGCATGTCATACGGCTTACGTATATATTCCTACCGCTGTTTATACCTCAGGTATAACGTTAGTCCGACCCGTCCACCCACAAAACACGGCTATACCTAGTGCATGATACGTTTACGTACTTAAGTCGCATTATTTGTGTATATATATATATATTCTAATTACTATTAAAATTTATATATTAACACGATTTATTCTAATTAAGAGATATAAAGTATTTATCCCGATACGAGGGATGATTTCCGTATCGTCATTTTTCGTCATTACCTTCACGTTCCGGTAGTGAGTAATTTACGCGCCTGCTGCTTTCCTTGGATGTTNTCCGGTAGTGAGTAATTTACGCGCCTGCTGCTTTCCTTGGATGTTGTAGCCGTTTCTCAGACTCCCTCCCCGGAATCGAACCCTGTATTCCCGTTACCCGTTACAACCATGATATTGATAGTAACTACTATCATAACATGAAACTAAAAAGTAAAAAATAAATATAGTTTTTTTTAACTATATTTATTTTTTTTTAATCATACATTACATAACACAAGCTTTGAATTAAAATTATTTGTAATAAAATAAATATTCTGTTACTATGCAAAATATTAGAAAATTGATTAATTTCCATGAAAATTAAATGATGATCTATAATTTGATAACTAGTGTCGTATCCCTCAGAAGCTTTATAAATGAGTAAAGCCTATAAGTCCTAGCTTACTTAAGAATAAACCTTTTCTCCTAAAACATTACTATGGGGTATGTCCACGACTCTCTGCCATAACCCAAAAAAGTAATAAGACTAAGGTTATTCAACTATACCAGAACGAATTACTCGTTAGTTTACTACCAGACGTGTCGTATAAAGACTCAACTATGTTTTAAAGAGAAACTCTTTATACCTTTACTTATAATTATAAAAAAGAAAAAATTTCAATAATGGAACAAACATAATAGTTATAATCACTATATCATGGGTAAAAACATATACATTGCATATCTACTAAGTAGTGATATAACATGTAAAAGAGTACAAGATTATCAGGAAAATTATGAGGTACTTCACACAATGAAAGAATATGAAGTTAGGAGTTCTTTCTCAGTCTCGAATAAGAACTCAGCCTCAGCTTCAATTCCTGGAACTACAAATAAAGGTATAATGGCTCCTATAAATGACCTCCGGAATTCAAATATGTCACAGGGTGATGAGTTGAATTCTAAACTAGACGATTTAACTTTTCGTTTTTCTTCAATCATTACTGAAATCTCTGACTTGCGGGATAAAGTAACTTCTCTAGAAAATAGAATACAAATATTTGAGTCTGGTCCATCTAATTTCAGTCCATCCCCATCCGTCACAAGTTTTACAAGNAAACTTGTATAAATTCTGCAACATTACAACTTGCTGAGCGTGATCGTTGTAAAACAAACATAATTGGTCATGGTGTTCAAGAGTCAACTTCTTCAAATACATCCATTCGAGTTGCCGCGGATAAAAAATTTCTTACCACTATTTTTTCAAAAATACTTCCAGATGTACATATTGATTTTGACGTACTCAGGCTTGGTAAACCAAATCAATCTTGTCCACGTCCCGTGAAAATTATCCTCAGTTGCGTAATTATTATCTACTAAAAAAAAAAAATTTACTACCTCTGAGTTTTACCCCCATCTAAAACTTGTTCGTGATAAAACACCACTAGAGGTGAAAAGCTTCGTGTTTGACATAAAGAACTAAATAGCCATTTACAAGCTGGAGAGTCTGGTCTTACTATCTCTATTATAAATGGTGTACCTGCTGTTATTTAGTTAAGATCAAAAAACTTCAATGTCCCACAGACACCAGTAACAATATAATTGATTCGCACTGTACTGATTCTTTTGGTTTTTATCAAAATTGTCGTGGTCTTCGTACCAAATTATTCAATTTCTCATGTAATGCCGTTTGTTTTAATTATGTATTTGTAATTCTAACTGAAACTTGGCTCACTGACAATTTTAACTCTAATGAACTTGGCCTTACAAACTACAACACCTATAGATCTGACAGATCGCCCCTACCAGCTCATGCGAGTGAGGAGGTGGAGTGTTGATTGGAAGGATATCCCGTCTTGCTTAATTCCTTCCCATGATAAAAGTGTTGAACATTTATTTGTCAATTTCACTCTAAATTCTTTTAAATTTATAATTTGAGGTGTTTATCTACCTGCTTCTTCTACTGAATTGTATAAATCTCATCTATCTTCCATTGATAAATATTTTCCTCCAGTATCCTTTTAATTTTTTATCATCTGTGGGGGCTAAAACCTTCCTAATATTACCTGGTTGAACCAGCTGTACCTCCAGACTCTTACCATTCTTCACTATTCTTATCATTTCTATGCTCCTCTCCCAGCCCACCCCCTCAAATTATTACCTCCTTTTATGATTTTACCTTCCCACTGTGGTTTACAACTGAACTAAAAAGACTAGTATCCTTAAAGCGTCAAGCACATTTTAACTATAAGTCTACCCTTTCACTAGCTGACTATCGTCATTTCTCTTTATGTCGAGCACATTATAAATTTCTTTCCAAGAAATCTCATCGTGAGTTTCTTGCTCGCTCTGAATCAAACCTTAAACTAAATCCACATTCTTTTTATAAATTTGTGCGTAAGCATCGTTCTTCTTCATTTATTTCGAGTAATTTATCCTACGAAGGCTCTAGTAGTACAAACCGTATAGAAACAGCTAATCTTTTCTCCAAACATTTTTCTTCTGTTTATACCCCGGTCTCTGTCACTCCCTCTTCTATTAGTCCTTCCCATTTTCAGTTTTATCTTCTTTCCAGCGTACATGTGTCCGTAATTGAGTTACACAAGTTATTTAAATCTCTCCGTAACATAAAATCTCTCGGTCCTGATGGCCTTCAGGGTGATTATTTATTTAAATTACGGGATGAAATTATCTAGCCACTCATTATTTTTTAATAAATCTCTTAGCACTGGAATTTTCCCCCTCTGTTTTAAAACTTGGCTCTATTACTCCTATCTTTAAGTCCTGCGACCCTTTTCATATTTTAAATTATCGTATGATTCTTGTGATCAAGTACCAATATTATATAAAAGTAACACTAAAACTGAAACCCTAACAACATATTTATACAATTAATACAATGTAAATAAGTACTCACGTAGTATAATTGTAGTGACGCTGGCCAACGACACACTATTTTTCTATGCTAAGTAAACTATTTTGGACACAATGTAATATAAAAATTCAAAATTTCATACAATTAACAATAGATAACAATAAATTTGGTAACAGTAAAATATGATGTATCACAATGAGTAGAATTAATACTGATGTATTCGTTAAATATCACAGAAAAATGTTAAAGCTAATTAGTAGATATAAAGTTGATTGTTATTGCAATTATTGCAAAACAAAAAAACTATTCACAATGAAAAATGTTAAAGCTAATTAGTAGCTATAAAGTTGATAGTTATTGCAATTAGTGCAAAACAAAAAAAAAACTATTCACAATGAAAAAATGTGCTAGGTAAAAAACCTTGTACAGAAAATTGTAATAATTATTTTTACTACTCTACAATACTTCACTATAGTATACTAAAAATGTGGGTGTGTGGTGTGTAGTGTGTGAACAGCTGATCGGCCGGTAGTAGCGATATCCACTACTACTTGCGTAGTAGGGAGTAGGTGTGGTGATAAAAGTTAGACCGGTCCGAGTACACTGGGCGCGCGTGCGTACAACACACTATTATGTTGCAGCTGCAAAACCCTTCCTTAAACCACATACTCATACCTGAACAGCATGGTTTCCGTCAAAACCGCTCTTCTTTAACATGCAACCTAGTTTTAACCTCTTATATTTTTGAGTCATTCCGCCTTCATAATCAGGTTGATGTGATCTACACCGATTTCGCTAAAGCTTTTGATGCTGTTGATCACTCCTTAATAATAAACACATTAGACCATCTAGGTATCGGTGAACCTCTTATTTCATGGCTTCGTTCCTATCTACTGGATCGATCCCAATTCGTTTCAGTCTACGGTACTTATTCTGATGTCATTTCTCCTTCATCAGGTGTCACCTAAGGTGCTGTTCTCTCTCCCCTTTTTTTTGCTTTATTTGTAAATTCTTCCACTTCAATTCTTCACCACGCCAAGCTACTAATTTTTGCTGATGATATGAAACTATATTATTGCATTAATTCATTGTCCGATTATCTTATTCTCCAATCAGATCTTGAATGTTTAGTTATCTGGGGCGAGTCCCTAGGTCTTTCCCTTAACATTAACAAATGTTCCTCAATGACTTTTTCACGCCAAAGTTACCCTATTTATTTTTCTTATTCGATCCATGATATTCATCTAAAATATGCTGGAAATTGTGTTCGTGGCCTAGGTTTTATCCTTACTCGTACCCTGTGCCCTATATAACACATAGTAGAAATTTCTTGCAAAGCATTGAAAATCATGAGTTTTGTTTTTCGCATAACCCAAGAGTTGTTCCACATGGTTTCTCCTCTGAAATCATTATATTCTGGCCTAGTTCGTCCGATTCTTGAATATGGCTGTGTCCTATGGGACCCACCTTCTTCTGGTGACAGTGATATGTTAGAACGTGTACAGCGTCAATTCCTTCATTTCGTTTCTTCCAAACTATCCAACATTCTCCTCATAATTATGTTCCTATTCTTCATTTCCTCAACTTCAATACTCTTGCTGATCGAAGGCATTCTTTAAACCTCTAATTTTTAACAGATCTTCTCTCAGGTACCATTGTTGATTCTCCAGTTTTATTATCCCTTATAAACCCTTAAGTTCCTCCTCACTATAATCGTTCCAATATTCCCATCCTAATCCCCTATTCCCCCACAAACTATCTCCTCAATTTTCCTAAAATCCGCATGATGAGAAAAGCTAACACGTACCCATTCTTTATAATGCCGTAGTTCAAGTTTGAGTTACTAGTTATTAGTTACTAGTTCAATATATTTTATAGTTACTCTTATATTTATTTGTCACTTTCAACTTAAATGATCTTTGTGTGTTTACTTAAAACTTTCTGTAATTAAATATTCTTTTGTAAATACTTTTTTTCAATTGTTATGTACTAAAAATTTACAAATATTGTATTGGGCAAGTTCCGCTTAATAAATAAATAAATAATGTTAAAAAATGTAAAATATAATATCAAGAATTTTTTTACAAAAATAGCATATTTTTGTATACGATAGTCATTTTTTTTTTTCAAAATAAAGTATATTACATGAACTTTAATTTAAGCTATATATAAAAGTGTTAGTCTTTGCGGAATATTTTCAAAAGTTAAGTAGAAAAAGTTAATTTTTTGTAAAAAAGTTACCATTTTGAAACCCTTCCTGTGGGCTTCTAAGGGTCAAATGTTCACAAAAATATGTAAAAGGATAGGTGAATACCTAAGGTATCTATAAAAAAAAAATTATATTAGTAGGGTAATTTGGAGAGTGCTGAGTCCCCCCCGCCAAATCCACCTATCCGTGGTGGTGGAGGAAGTGTACGGGGAGGATTAAATCCTACGTAAACTAACCTAATGTTATTGGAGGGGGAACGAGGATATCCTTTTTTTTTTTTTTTTTTTTTNCGCCGACACAATAGCGCAGCGCAACGGGATAATGGGTGAAACCCTTTTTTTTTTTATTTTCCCTACTGCCGGCATGCTGTGGACCGCCCTGGAACTACCGCGAGGTATTGCTTCAGGGCGGCCCACGCCGTCTAAAATTCACACCACCACGTTGTGAATCAGCCCGAAATTAATCAAGAGCTGATTCACAACGTGGTGTGGCCTCCCCCGTTAGCCGGATCCCAAAAGGCGGGATCCGTTGACCGGGTTGCACCGCGTGGAGGTGGGGGCAGGACTTTGCGAGGGTTGGCTTAATAAATCACAAACATACATAACATGAACACAAAACATAAAACACATGCAATAAGCACCTACGGCGCCAGTCTAGCTGACGCCGCAGGTACAACCACCCTGGGAAGTCTCTGCCTCAGACGTTCGGCCTCCTCTTTTTGGTTCATCACCGATTCGGCGAACGCCTGAACCAGAGACCACCCCTCCCGGCTTCTCAGCATATGGTCCACCATGGACCCCACACCGAACGCGGACCCCAAGCGGGATTCCAACTCCTCCCGCTCGTTGGCCCACGCTTCGCACCGGAAGAGCGTATGCAGAGCATTGTCCGCTTCTCCCGGGCGATCCCGACAGTGATCGCACGTCGGCGCGGCTGCCTTCCGAATACCGTGAAGGTATTCGTTGAAGCAGCCGTGACCGGACATCACTTGGGTCAGACGGTATGTCATCTCCCCGTGAGTCCGGCCAATCCACCTGTCGAGCCGGCTGGGTCCGATGAGGGACCTAGTCCACGCTCCCGCGGATTCCTCGTCGGCCAGTCGTTGGCGCCAACTGGACACGGTTACGCTCCGGAGTTGCAGCCGGTCCTCCGCACGAAGCGGCTGACCGGTACTCTTCCGGAGCTCGTATCCGTTGGCGCGTTCGACGGCCAACAGGTCCGCGGGCGGCAGAGAAGCCAGGATCCTGGCCGCCACTCCGGATACGGTGCGGTATACGCACACCATCCGGAGAGCGGCCCTTCTCTGGACCCGGTTCAACGCTTCTACGTTCTTGGGCGAGTACTCCAGAATACTCGCCCAGACCGGGGACCCGTAAAGGAGGACCGAGTGGACGACGCTAACTAACAGTCGGCGTCGATGTTCCCTCGGTCCCCCGATATTCGGCATCAGTCCCGCCAGGCGGAACGAGGAAATCCAACGTAAACTAACCTAATGCAATGTGAAGGGGAACGATGAAACCTTACGTAAACTAATCTATAGTAGGGGGGTGGGAGAGGATGAAACCCAACGTTTTCTAAGAATTTTATTATCGGCTACCAGACGCTTAAGTAAGCATATTTCCAACATCAAAGGTATCATAATATTATATCGCTCATAAGCGTCTGTAATTTTATATGAGAACAATTGCGGTGCTGTCTGTGTATTATTAAATGTTTATAGGCTATTTAATGATGAGTAGCCTCGGCCTACCTCCCTCTTCCAACGGCTTTCCACGGGGTAGAAGCCGCCTTATCCAAGGCGACTCGCATAACTATGAGGTATGCGGGCCATTGGGGCGTCTTTCTGAAAATATAGCTATAATTTCTAAGAATTTTATCATCGACTAGCAGACGCTTAGGTAAGCATATTTCCAACATCAAAGGTACCACCGTACAGTAACGAACACTTTCATATGCATTTATTTTTTTACATAATATTTTATTATTTAAACTATCTGCTTTAGTAGTATCTAAATAGCGGGTTCTGGGGATCAAAGGATGCCGCCATGGTAATTAGTGTCATACGTCATCAAAAAGTAATAAATTAAGAGTGTTAATGGGTAATTAAATGGTTAATTAAGGTCAATCGTAATTGTTAAAGTTGTAAATCAAGTGTGTTATTGTTAAAATTGCGATAATAATGTGGGTTGGCGGAGGGTAGGTGGTCAGCTGACTCGGCGTTACGTCGTTGTCGGTGTGACGTATGCAGCAACGCGTGCCCCTCAATCAGGAGCATCACAGGTGTTACGTAATATAATCGCCCTTAAGGTCATCACGTCACATACAATAATGTTAAAGACTCTGCCCCTGCCTATACCCTCCCACCTAGGAGTTGTACGTCAAACGGTCGCGTGTTATATTGTGTCATCGCAACCGCCGCCGCCGTCGTCGTCGACGGGGTATAAGCCGTAGTCGTGTAACCGCCCTGATGACGGTGTCTGTCGGAGGTGTGAATCGCAACGTTTGTATCTTTAGCGCGATAAAAATACGATGTACGCATGTCGAGGTGGTGATTAGCTTATTCCTAAGGTGCACGATGTATCGAATATGATAAATCAAAATTAACCGTACAGTATCGCCAATTATTTTCATTTTAGATAAAAATTGTACGTAAAATGTTGATTTTGGGTAATTTGTTAAAAAAAACTGAATATATTTATTATTTAGTTATTTGTTTGTAATCTAAACTTTGGATTATGATGCGGTGGGTGGTCATATAGTATATATGAGATGTAAGTTTTTTTTTTTGATGAAAAAAAAAAATGCATTTTCCAGGTACGCTACACGGTAACGGTGAAAAGTACAAATTTTAAACGTCGAATCCGCTATTTTGATATGCGACATGCACATAATTAGATAAAAACTACGTAAGAATGTTTATTTTACCTAATTTGTAAAAAAAAATAATCATTTGTTCAAAACGGGCATGGTACCAGATGGCTTTACAGATGATTATATATATTTTTATACTATCGTATTTGAGATATATACAGCAGATGGCTTACACTTGATGGCGACGATGCTGTC